ACCGGTTGTTGAGGCCCAAACGTCCGTTGAGGGATGTGATAATGGATCATTGGGCCAAGCATCTTAATGTGGACAGGAACTTACTTACACCGATTCGGTGGTTTCAAGGAGGAAAGACCAAACCAGCTAAGATCTCCTCCCTGCAGTGGCAGATTGTGCATCGATGTTTACCTACCATGGACTTGCCTATAGATCACACGAATCTGGAACAGAAAGGTCAGGCGGTACCATGGTGTCCACGGTGCCTAAGTGTCTTCCCTGTTAAAAAAAGAGCCGAAAGTATCGAGCACATCTTCATGCAGTGCCCTGCGGCGAAGCTTACGTGGCGATGGTGGGATCGGATATGGAGAAAAATGATACCAGATCCGCCATGGCCATGGTCCTGGAGAGCCATTCTACTGGGCCATTGGCCACAGGCACAGGGAGAATCTCCCTTCGTGGAAAATATGTATAATTTGGGACGAAGGGCAGTCCTATGGGGACTTTGGTGGCAGCGCTGCCTAATGGCACTTGAGGGGGTGAGGGTGGAGGGAGCAGAAACGACTGACCAAATCCGACAACAAGTCCAAATGGAAATAATGAGCAGGTGGCAGGAAATGAGGGTAAAACTCGACCTGCTACAGATGATGAGGGACATGGAACGAGCCATCACCTCCTTCTGCACCAACTGGTTGGGGGGGGCAGAAGGAGGATGGATAGCCAGAGTGGAATGGAGTGGTGGAAAGCAAGAAGCCCAGCAACAGGAGAGGGTTGTATTACGGGATTACCGGCTACTGTTTAGGGACTGGACGACGATAGAACCTGCCTTCCCGCTACGCCCCCCGACGGACTTCCCCGATCCCTTCCCCCCTCACCCATTGGCTCTGGTCGAGTCCCTGTTTTGACTTGCCCCTGTCACGATCTCACCCGCCTGGTCACCCTATCTGATCCCCCTCCCCTTTCCCGTCCTTGCGTTCCATCTTTGTTGCATCACTGTTACTTGGATCATATAATCTCATGTAAGCTCGTGCAATCTCACCGCAAGACGGCCCTGCCTCTCGGTGCCCCCCGAGGGATAAAGGGTCGACCATATTCTGTGGAGGTGGAGTGGGGAATCCAAGTCTTTTGCAACATTTCAGCTCTGAGCTCTGAAGCAGTCAACGCTGCTTCTACAACACATCTTCTTCAAGTTCCTAAGAAACAGGGAGGAACTAGGTTATTCAACAGTGGATATCTGACATCCTTTTTTTGATGAAGAGGTCTCCCCCCTGTTCTCAAAGAAACCTGCACAGTTAATCCTCTGGAAACCAGAATAATCAATGCTGGCAGATTTCTTATTCTTTCTTACTCTTTCTGGTCATGCTCATCATTCTGTATATGGGACGCTGGACCCGTTTTCCAGCAGGTGAAGCTCCCCACCAATAGATGGAGCCTCTCCCCGGGTGCTAGTGGTGTCTGCTCTTACCAGCACCACTAACACTGCAGGGGGTGTGGTTTTGAAAAAAAAAAAAAAAAAAAAAAAAAAAAAACAGGGGAGTGGAAAAAAAGGTTTGTCACAATTCAAGAGTCTCATCGCAAGCATCCCCCTGGCATGGTATCAATTGTTGAGGTGCGCCGGATCATGGGGCCTCCCTCGTGGACGAGGCGCTGAAAAGAATGGCCAGGTGGAAAGGACTGCACACTTCAATCGTCGGAAGAGCACTCGCACTCAATACCGCAATCTTCTCAGCAATGTGGTACAAAGCTGCATGCTGGCCGATCCCGCCCAAGCAGATTCAGAGGCTGAGGAAAGCAGCTGCAGCATACATGTGGAAAAACGACCTGAAGACCCCACGTTCCTCTCGAGAGTGGCATGGGACAATATTGCCCAGCCTAGATCAAAAGGGGGTTTGGCGATACTAGAACCCCGGGATCAACTCAAAGCCCTGGCCTTCAAAACCATCACCAGACTGCTGATGGGAAACAACGTCCCGTGGGCCCCCTATGCTCACATTCAAATTGCCAACCTCGCCCCCTTTTCGCCACCGGACAAGAGGGTCCACCCCCTGCAATGGCTGACCAACCCTGCATGGCCGGTTCCGGGACCGTCCCATTCGTCTCCCCCCCTTTCGGAACGGGCGCAAACAACAAATGACATATCCAACGACCCGCTTTGGCCCAATATGCTAAAATTGTGGAGAGAGATGGGCCCCCAACGCCTGCCTCCCCCCCTGAGATGGCATGAGATAGTTAGGCAACCACTCTTCGGCAATCCTCTTATATGTGACGCCGATGGAGTACCCTTCCAGCTATCAAGACGCTCTCACTGGACACACTGGGTCGCAAAAGGGATTTTCACAGTGGGGGATCTCTGGGACTTCCAGAAAGGGGCATGGAAAACAGCAGAACAACTACACTGTCAGTTGCGGTACGTTAGGGGCAGGGAAGCAAACCTGGAAAAACTCCAGGAAGCTATCCCGCTCGCATGGATCCCCCCCTTGAAAAACGGGCCTTCGATTGTTCAAGGGGACTGGGTGGTCCGCTGGCTCCATACCGGACTCCCGCCTTGGGTGGGCAAAGTGGTGAAGCTTACGAATCAAATTGCACATATCCACACTTACGTCTTGACATCCCCGGGGGACAAGTTTTCTGAGTTGCGAAGACACCGGGACGGTGATGTAGATCTGAACTGGGGGTGTTTGGTTAGAGTGCGGGTACTGGAAAGGAAAGACCACTCCTACTTTGCATTCCAACCGTCCTCCCCAATCTTGGCACTCCCATTCGACCCACAGGAGTGGCAGTGGGCCAGTGATGGCCCCACAAATCACCTCAGACCATGGGAATACACGGTCAAACAAGGATACCGAATAATACATAAGGCCCGCACCACAACATCGACAGTGCAGAAAAGATGGGAAAAGGACTCTATATTACCCCTCACAGACCTAGCCGACTTTACATGGGCCATTATGCCGACATCGCACATGGCCCTACAGTGGCAGATTCTGTACCGTTGTCTGCCCACCCCCGACTGGATCGTGTCGAGGACGGATCTGGAGCAAAAAGGCCTCCTTAGCCCTATCTGCAGATACTGTGACTGGTTCTCCCAACGTTCTCGAGCCACGCTGGAGCATTGCCTGCTGGGTTGCCCTATGGTCACCCAGATTTGGAGATGGTGGGATGCAGCCTGGACTGCTCTCACTGATTCTGACTTTCCGTGTGTGCCAAAACAGTTGCTTCTCGGGGTCCCGGCAGCCCCCCGACCTGACTGGTCACCCTACAAAGAAAACCTGTTCCAAGTAGTCAGAATTGAACTGCTGATGCTAGCTTGGCGGACCCGCTGGTCCTTCGAAAGAAACCTGCACACCTTCACTGCATCCCACACGAAGGAACAACTACCTAGTGGCGAGAATCAGAGCCGCATGGGACAAAACCAGCCAACAAATTGAAAAACTCCTTGAAGATATGTCCCTTTCAACAGCGCAGAAACGGCTAAAAGAGAATGAGCTCACTGCCCGCTTCACGGAAGACTGGCTGGGTCCCAAAAGAGCCATGGCTGACCTCCACAAATCCAGGCTACAATGGAAAAACTGGAGGAAGAATGAGAAGGATTGGCCACTCAAACCTTACTCCCACTTCACAATTCCCTACTCTGCAAATCCCCCGTCTGGAGGAAGAATGAGAAGGATTGAGCACCTCTGTCGGAAGCCGGCTCCCGCCCCCACCCTCCCCCCTCCCCCGCCCCCCCCACTCTCTGTCCCGTAACGTCGCTCACAGGGAAGGTCGACAACAGATGGAAGGTGGAGTGCACCGATCACGACGACGAGGTTCTTGAAGGGGGTTCATTCGGAAGGAGCCAAGACTTTGCTCGCTGAACAAGGGCACTCGGAGCGAATGGCCACGAAGACCGCGGACAGACGGAAGGTGAAGAAAGGAATCTGAGGGGATGCAGTGATGAGCTATACACAGGGCCTGGTCCATGAGTCCACGTTAAAGTTCCTCACTAAGCTTTGCGGGATGAAGGCGCCTTATGAGTTACGGTTAATGGCATGATCTCCCTTCTGCTACATTAAAGGGTCACAGGGGCTACGGAGGGCCCAGGGAGGGTTCAGGGTTTAGATTTTTAAAACATCATAATATCCTAACAGCAAAATGGGGGTTTGGAATCCGGCACAGGAACAGATCGTAGTACATCACTCAAAAACGATCATGGGGGGTATAGGGATTGCAAATGGGTATGAGTACAAAAAGGGTTTTAGGCAACCNAAAAAAAAAAAAAAAACATGGTAGCTGACATTGCCACTCTGTCAAATGCAAAAACACGGCCAAATACCCTTGTAAGGTTATTAGCCCTACAGCACGCCTTTTGGAGAACTCTTTGCATCTCTTTGCTAAGTAGAGTAGTCCATTATTGAACCATGATAGATTCAAGTCAAAAAGAGGTTTCTGATGCTGCCAAACTGCCAGACACTCTGTATCAAGGGTTGGAATAGGCGGTCCTTCAGGGATGTATTCAGCTTGTAGAAACCCGGGCACTGATCTGGCCACTTCTGCGTTGTCGAGACCACCACGCACGTCTTGCAGTCGAGGCCAGGGTGGGGGCTGCGTGGCCCCAGCAGCTTGATTCCTAAGATCTGTTTTCCTCAGCCGAAGCCTGGTAATGGCCCCAGTACCTCATACTGTTCTGTAAAATTCTCATATGGGACGCTGGGCCTGGTTCCCAGCACGTGCTGCTCCCCACGAATAGATTGGAGCATTGTTTGGCCCCCCGCCCCAAAAAAAAAATAAAATAAAAAAATGCCTGCCTTTTTTTTTCACGTTCTTTTTTCCCCTTCCTTGCTACTATTGTTGATCTTTGTTGGTGGCAACCTTGAGATATCATCTTTGAACTGATCGGCCCCAGGTAAACTCAGGTTTGTTTTTTTCAGTAGTTTCATTGCTGTACTGATCTTGTTCTAGGCACCATCATGTTTTGCCTGGTGCAGATAACAGATGGCCCTCCTGATCACACCCGAGATACCAATGCGGAGTTTACTTATGGTTTGGATCGTCCCCTTGACGAATCGACCATGGGAACCATACAGCCTGAATGGTATTGCACACTTTGGAGAGAGAACAGCACTTCACCAAAGGATCCCATCGTCGTACATGATTGGCTGCGGTGCAATTCTCCAGTGAAGTACAGCAGTTTAGAGGAGGGAAACTACACGTTCAGTGTGCGAGCGACGAGCTTTCTCAATGAAGATCGAGATGGTCTGAGTGGCTGGCCAGAATCAAGGAGGTTTGTCATCGACGTCACTCCACCGAAGCTCACCTTGCTATCACAGCCAGCCTCCTATTTACAAAGCTCGTCCTTCTTCGTGAATTTCGCTGCCAACGAACCTGTCATTGCCAAATGTTACCTTCAAAGAGGAGTCATAGATGCACAGCTGAGAAGGGTCCCAACTGAGCCTAGTACCAAAAATGCAAGCCAGAGTAACCCCCATCTCAAGGGCAAATATAAAAACAAATCACCCTCCCAGCAAGTAGCTCCACTTCTCGTTCGGAGCAACATCGCCGCCAAGCATTCTGTGAATCCAAGTCCAGCTTCTGATTTGCCGACAGCTCTCAGCTACACCAAAGGAGATGATGACTATTTCAATCACTCCATCGGAAACAGTGACCACGGCGACATATCGCCGCTAAATGAGAAACTGCCACTGCGCATTACCAATTCAACGACATCTGGTTACGGCAAGAAAAAGGGAAGGAAGGACATGTCAGCGACTGCGATGGAGGAGCCTGATGGAAGCATCACAGTGCAGAGTGCAACATTCATGCCATGGGCGGCGATAACCCAGTCTGACTCAAGGATCGAACCAGCCAGCAAGAACAAGGAGATTACTGGAAATGGTGGGGTAAATGAAGTTATTCCAAAGTTCCCTTCCTTGGGCCCTGACGAGACAAACATGGAGCCGATTGACCTTCCGGAAGAGCCAAGCGGGGGGTTTGAATTCCAGAGTGCTGTGGGGAGATGGGTGTCTTGCAAGGACCCTATCAGGTATTACAATGTGTCAGATGGGCCATACAGAGTCCTGTTATTAGCGTCCGATTTGGCTGGAAACAGAGGGGAGGTACAAGCAGTGAAGTTTCTTATTGACACTTTGGGCCCAGATGTCTATATCTTGTCCCAATCCCAAGAACAAGATGGTTCCTTCAAGGTGTCATTCTCTGTCGTGGATGAACTTGTTGGTTCAGGAGTTGCGGGATCGTTCTGCACTGTAACACAAGATCCAATAGAGGTGGAGGTCTGGATGCCTTGCTTCAGTCCCAGAGTCTATGAACTGGAGCCACTTGGCAATTACACGGTAAAGGTAAGTAGATTGTGAAAAAAAAAAAAAAAGATTTGAATTTTGTTTTTATAAAGAGTCCCCAAAACGAGTTGCACTACGAGGCAAGATACAGTTTGCAATTGCACTTCCAGCACCCTACCTGGCCAGAAAGCTGGGTTGTATACATTGCCCGAACTGCAATTTAAAACTGTGTCTTGGCCCATAGTAGTGCAATTATAACTCGTTTTTGTGACTCCCTCTAGTTTCCCCTATTATTTTTTGACATTCGTGCCGGGGTGCCTCAGGGGGTTATGAAAGCATCATCCTGTGATATCTCCCGACAGATTGCTCCTCTCTATTGGTGAGGAGCTGCACCTGCTGGAAACTGGGTCCTACATCAGATCTGCAAAGTATGAAGATGCTGTGATGTCCGTGGACTGGCTGGGGGGGCAACAGGAAGTGGTGGTGTGATGTCCATGGACTGGCTGGGGAGGCAACAGGGAGGATGGATAGCAAAGATTCAGTGGGATGGCTGGCACCTGGAAGACAACGATCGGTTGGATACATCGCAGAAAAAATACCGATTGACCTTCCACGATTGGACTGCAATCCCTGACAACATCCCGCTCCCCCCTGCCTCTGAATTCCCTGACCCCTTTCCCTTACCCAACAATGTCTTGATGGAATTGAGCTGGTATGGCCATGACACAGGGCAACCTCTCCATTAGTAACTTTCGTGAACCGGCCATGATGGATAAGGGTATAGGGAGGACTGGTAGTCTGCCCCAGTCGCCCCCTGGAAGCAGAACCCGCCTCCTTGCCCCCTAGTACATCATGCCGGTCCACTGAGTGGCCTTGCTTGCAAAGGAGAACTAATCAGGGATGAATGATGGTGGTCAGGCCTTTGTTTACTCCTGCACAGTCAATCCCCTGATGACCTCAGGGTAATCAATGCTGGCAGAAGTCCACGATCTCAAAAGGAAAAGGGAGTCCTTTAAAAAACAAAAGGAGGGAGGGGCTAGTTTTTCGGCAGTAGATATCTGGCGCCTGGCACTAGGGCGAAGAGGCTTCCTCCCCTTCCTTAACAACCTTCACAGTCAATCCTCTTGTGACCAGAGCAATCAATGCTGGCAGGTTCAAGATCAGTCAACTTCTCCTGATCCAACCTATATCCATTCTGCAATGCATTCTGTAAAGGGACACTGGACCCGTTTTCCAGCAGGTGATGCTCCCCACCAATAGACGGAGCCTCCCCCCGGGTGCTAGTGGTGTCTGACCCTGTCAACACCACTAGCACTGCAGGGGTGTGTGTGTTTTGTTTAAAAAAAAAAAAAAAAAAAAAAAAAAAAAAGATGCTGTGATGTTGACGTATTTGGGCCAGTCCAAAGTTTAAACCCTCTGGCAGGCACCAGAGGGTTTGCCACCCAGCACAGCCTCTTCAACCTCTTCAGTCTGACCCACCCTGGGTTGGCTGCCTGCAAGAAAGAATCATCCCTAGCTGCTTTCCTCTGTTACCGAGACCTTTAAGGTATCCAGACGCCCAGTCAACCCCCACCAGTACACTGTGTGCACCATGAACGAGCCATCAGGTCACGCTATAGAACACCCATACATACCCCACCCCCGACTCGCACAGACAGACTACCAGTATGACCAGGACAACAGACAACCAGACAACCAGGACAATTCCCTGTGACGAGTGCATGACAATCCGACGAGTACAGGACAATCCGGAATCCCCATACAACAGCCTACACAACCCGATGGACTATCCCCCCCAAGGGCTACCCGGCCCTACAAGGCGAATGCACCAGGGTCCAATCGAAGGGGACCTTCCAAGAGCGGGCACAATTTGAGTTATAAAGCCTACTTGCAGCATCCGCCACAAGTGCTCCATCTGAGCACGGCCAGTCTCCAACCCGCAACCTGCATCTTACAATGCAGGCGCCCAAACAATCCGAACATTCACGTTGTGTGAATGGCCATGCGTCGGTTAACAACCGCCGGTGTCCATATGTGAGGGTGCCCACACCCTCATACCACAATTAGAATAGTCCAGAGTAGGTCTAGTTGATGATAGAGGTGGGGGAGCGGATGTAGCCGTGAACCCACTGAAGACGGAAACTAGAGATACTCCGGGGGATGACAAAAAATGACTGGAGACCCAGTTGATGATAGAGGTAAGGGGAGCGGATGGTGTATGCTGAGGACAGAAACTGAAGATGCTCTAGGTAAGAACAGAAAAAACAAAGAATTCAAGACAACAACGAGAAGGGGCCTGATGACTATAGGGCTCGGGTTCCTCCAATAGGAAAGGGTTCAAGAACATAGAATTCAAAATAATAATTAGAGGGATCTGATGATGATAAGGCTAGGATCTCTCTTACAGGAAAAAGGGTTCACCTATGGGACTCGTCGTAGAATGTCTACCCCTAGCGCTTGAAGTACCCATACGACAGGGTGCATCCGACTACGATTCTTTTTTTTTTTTTTTTTTTTTTTTTTAAGCCCAGGGTGTTGTAGAGGCCAAGGACCAGACCCGCAGTGATTGCTGGTAGCAGTAGCCAATGGCTGTCCTGACAGGATAGGCCCCCTATCCTACCCATCCCCACGTTAATGCTCCCAGCGCACCCCCTGTCCCTACTATCCTACCTCAGTGTGACCAGCACTCAGGACCATCACCCTACCAGTATTGAGGGCAACTTGGACCAGACAGCAGTGACAAGCACCAGGGCTGGGCCAACATCCCAGCCCTAATGGAAGTGGAAGCGGACGAACCTTGCCGTACGGGAACTTCGGACGCCAGGCTCATGCAATCTTCTACAGGCCCAATTCAGAGAGTCTACCCAGCAGGATTACCTAAGCAAGGCAGGCCGGGGCCCGTGGACACATTCTACCGTCCTTTCCCTAACTTACCCAAGGCTAGGCGGAACTCAGACTAGCCAGAGCGACTTGTATCCCTAGCCTACCCTAGAGCTAAGCCCTGCATGTGTAGACCCCGTCATATACCTGATAGACCCCCCCAGCCCAGTATCGTAGTTGTGTGTATATGTGTGTGGCCAGAGGCTATGTCTGGTTTGTATGAGCCCATAGGGCTATGTTTTCTGTGTCTGCCCAAAGGCTATGTGTGCTCTGTGTACCTGTATAGCGAGAAATGTGTGCCCGAAGGCCAGATATGTGCAGTACTATGTAGAGGGAACTACGTGTTCGTTTGAAGAGATGACAGGCCAAGCTGGACAAGACCCCCCCCCAAAGTCCCAAGCCAGATTTGAACCCGTGATCTATGACATGTGACCTGAAGACTACCATTTGAGCGACAATCGCAAACAGCCCCTGTGTATGATATGCCAGACTGGGGTGATCAACAGAACAACCACAAGCAACAGCCACAAGCAACCCACGCAGTATCAAGACCCCACATACAACACCATGGACAACCCCTTGGGTGGTGCGCACGCAGTGTCTGTATAAGCTTACCGTGCGTCAGCCCAAGGGGGTGTGTGTCCAGCCGTGCGTCATTCTAACGCCCTGCCGGTGTCCATGCGCAAGGCTGCAATTGAGTTTTGAGCCCGCAACCTCATACCACAATGCGCATGTCCAACCGGTGCTCTAACCACTGAGCTACATCAACTGGACTATGCTTCAATCAGGGCTGGGGAGGGAGGTGAGGACCTGCTTAGCCCTGATGCCTATAACCACTGTCCGGTCAGGTCACTAGAAAAGGGTGATGGTCCTGGGTGGTAAAAACATTGAGGTAGGGATCGCGGCGGCCTCAGGAATGGAACAGTCTACACAAGAGATGGAAGATGGAGAGGGAGTGGTTTCGATGACTGTCGGGCAGCATACAGAACTGCAACGTTGAGAGGACAGTCAGCTGGATCGCAATGCTCGATGGACCAGCCCGGCATGGTGGGAGGGGATATTGTGAACTAGAATACAACGGGGGGAGAAGGTTAGGGAGGGGTCCATCAAAGGCTTGGGGGATAGGGTGGAAAACGCGCGCATGTATATATAGCTGGGGTGGGGGTAAGGAACAGGGGAATGGGGCAGGGGACCTGCAAGAGAGTAAATAGTGGGGGGCCGAGCAATGGGTAGGAGGGCAAAGGAGATAAGGGGATGTACAGGCCAATAAAGGGATGGTAGGAAGTGGGTCTCAAAATTTGAAAGAGGGCACTGGGACTGGGAAGATAGGAAGCACAATAGGGAAGGGTTGGGGGCTCAAAGCTTCAAAAGTGGGTGCAGGGGTGGGAGGGCACGAATGCCGGCAATGGGAGAGGGGAGTGAACAAGAGGATTGAGGGGGGAGGGGGACTAGACAATGGACAATAATGTTGTAACGAGACAATGGCTACTAAAAGATACGAGGAACAACGCAACAACGATAACAATGGGGTGGGGGGAGGGGATGTGCTCGGAGGGCGGAGTGAGGGAAAGAGGGGCGGCCTAGCAGAACCACCAAATGCTGGAATGGGGTGTTGTGACTGGGTGCGAGTATGCCTCCCGACCCCACCCCTCACAGCGTTTGGGACGACAAGCTCGCCACTTCTCGGACCTGGCGCTTCCACTTTCCTATCTCTCTTTGCTGACTCTAATCTTTACTCTGCACTATGCTTGTCGGTGATAAGCAACTGGACTATTGCCCCCCCGAATAGAAGGGCCTTGTGTGTGTTTGGGTTAAAAAAAAAAAAAAACACTGAGGTAGGACATTGGGAGTAGGGATATGCCGGGGACAGTAGTGATGCTGAAGGGTGGGAGGGCGTCTCATAGGGGGGCTGTATAAAAAATCATCTGGATGATCAAATAGCCAACTACTGAAGGGACTGTCATATCCCTGGTGACCAGCCTCTACAACAACCTGGAAAGCACTAGTACCTTTGTCGGTTCGGAAAATTGTGGGCCTCCGACCTTTCAGGAGGCCGAAATGAAATGACGGCCGCCGATTAGATTTATAAATGGAAGCCATTGTCCGGCCCGGCCGCGAATTCTTCGGGGACTGGCGTTTTCCCTCATTTCTGAAGCAGCAAAGGTACTAGTGGTAAAAAAAAATAATAATAAAAAAAAAATCGTTGATCACCACCAGCACCATCATCAACAGGGCGCGGTTCGACACCAATGCATCATCACAGTAATGGCTCGTCATCATCATTAGGGTGCTGCTCGACATCATCATCAACAGCGCGTGGTTCGACATCATCATCACGGTAATGGTTCGTCATCATCATCAGGGTGCTGCTCGTCATCACCATCATCATCATCAGGGTACTGCTCGTCATCATCATCAAGGCGTAGGTCTTAGCTTCTGTTCGGCGCTAATATCATCATCATTATCAAGGAGCCGTTCATCAGGGGTGCTGCTCGTCACTCGTCGTTGTATTACCATCATCAATAGTTCACCATCATAGGGCGCGGTTGGCGAAGCTCATCATCATAGGGCGCTGCTCATCCCTATCATCATCATCATTATCATCATATCATCATCATCATTATCATCATCACCATTAGGTTATCATCAAAGGTGCTCGTCATCAGCGCACCATTATCATCCTGTTGTCATCACAGGGCGTTGTGCATCATCATCATCATCATCGACATCATCATCATCATCATCATCATCATCATCATTACCGACATCATCATCATCATCATCATCATCATCATCATCATCATCATAGGGGCTGTTGGTGCTGCTCTTTAGTATGATCAACATCATCAATCTGTCTTCATTCTCATCATTACCATCATCATCATCAGTTTGTCATCATTAGATGCTGCTCTGGAAGGCATTGTTTGCCTTTCACATGAGCAGGTGAGTTGGTCGTCACCATCATCTCATCATCATCATCTTCAGGGTGCTGCTCATCGTCATCAGCAAAATCAAAAAAAACATCATCTACCTTTTCTCCATCATAATTTCCAGAAATTTCCGATTCTTCCATTCATATCTTAGGAATCCTATTTCCTAAATTCCTTGTTTTTTCTTTTCTCCACTATTAATTTCTGATTCCCCTTTGGGCACACTAATGAATTATTTTTGCGGGGGTAGGGGGTTGGGGTTTTAAGGAGGAGAGCCCTACTCTGCAGGGGCTTCACAAGGTGGGGGTTGAAATGCCCTGGAGGGAGTGAGGGCAATTTTTTGGGGGATGCCCTATTCTGGGGCTGGGAGAGATGTATGGGTTGGCATCATATCCCAATGGAGACAGATAGAAGTGAGGGGTTGGCTGAGGCATACTTTGGGTGGAACTGGATGCCTTGGTGAAAGTTGGGGGAGGATGCAGGTATGTCCCAAGTTGGGGCCGATAAGGAGAGATTGTGATCAGAGCAGTCCTTTTCGGTGGAGGCAGCGGAGGGACAGGGGGAGATGGAGGGGAGGGGGAGGAAATAATCCACAGAAATGTCCAGAATTCTGATTCTCCTCTTAAGCATAAACAAATTATTTCGGGTGGGGTGGTGGGTTGGTTCTGAGGGGGAGAGCTCTACTCTGCAAGGGCTTCACAAGGAGGGAGGTGATTGCCCTAAAGGGAGACGGGGCAGATTTTGGGGGATGCTCTATTCTGGGGCTGGGGGAGATGTATGGGCCGACATCATATCCCAACGGTGGCAGACAAGGGCAAGGGGTCGGCAGAGGCATACTTTGGGTGGGAATTGGATGCCTTTGTGGGAGTAGGGGGGGAAATGGGTCTGTCCCAAGTTGGGGCCGATAAGGAGTGTCCATGATCAGGGGCGGTCCTTTTTGGTGGAGGCAACGGTGGGGCAGGGGGATGAGGGGGGCGGGGGGGAATTTCTATATCCTTTGTTTGTATTTGGTTGGGACTTTTCCTGATTCTTTCTGGAGTTTTCAAAACAAGCACCCTTGTTATTCCTGGTAGTTTGAAGAATCTCTAGGGACTCTGAGGGTCTGCTGGTGGTTTGTACGAAGCTGCACTGGAATTAGACTGTTATATTCAGGATCCGTGGTTGTTCAATGTCAGAACGACGTCGGCCGGAGCCGGGGTGATGCCCTGTAAGTTGCCGAAGGTGAGGGCATGAGGCCTTGTAGAGAGATCTGGGGATGCTATGCGGGGGCATCCTAAGAGACAGCTGGGGGTTGCTGACACAGGACGACACTGGCCAAAGCTGGAGTGAGTCGCGTTGCTCTATAACCTAGCAGATAGGGGGCGTGAGTCCTGGATGAGTTTGTCAGAGAATAAGCCAGTTTTAGTGAGCTTTGTTATGATCTGTTGGAAATCCCTTAGATACTCGAGTGTTCTGAAAATTGCKGTGRATTTCAGGAGGTGTTTAGCTATCATAAAAAAAGATGTGTAGTCTTCTCATCATCTATCCCGAAGTCCAGTAGCTTGTTCACGATCTTGGAGGGTACTCTAAAAAACAAACAAAAAATAAAAATAAAAACAGTGGCAGGGCAACATATGTTATCAGTTATTGGAGACTTCTCACCTTGAAAAAAAAAAAAAAAAAAAAAAAAAAAAGGGCACTGTTGAGAGATGTGTTCAATGGTTTCTGTTATTCTGCGAGAGGGGAAGCATTGTTCACATCTTTACACCAGGGGCCAAACCCCTCTGTTCTTGGTTGAAGTGGTCGATCAACCGGTTGTTGGTCAGCAGGCAGCGATGTGCAATCTGCCATTGCGGCGAGGTGATCTTCGCTGGTTTGCATTTCCTGTTCTGAAACCACCTAATCGGTGTGAGAAGGCTGTATTGGACATGGAGGTGTCTCAACCACTTCTCATTTATTACGTATCGCAGATTCCGTTGAATTTCTGAGTATTCCAGCATCCCAGCTACATCCGAGGCTTAATCTTGTCCTGAATCTTAATACCGGGGGTCCGGGGCCATTACCCGGCTTCGGTTTGCTTAGAAAGAACTGAGAAAAGACTGCTAATAAGAATAGCTGAGACTCATGTAACTCAGCACCAACAAGCAAAAACCAAACGGGTTGGCGATGCAGCCACGTAGGAAGGCTTGCCTCCCCACAAAGCAATCGGATTCTCGGAGCCCATGGGCCCTCATTTTTTTGAGCAAATATTTCTCTGGCCTGGTCATTCTTTTGAAGAAATATTTCGCCCTACGCAGTCATCAGTCATTCTCCCAGGGGATTCGAACTCAGGTTAAAATTCCGAGAGATCATGGCCGTCCTTACTGTTACTGTCCTCTTTCCACCCATCTTCTGAATGTTTATTGTGGGCTAGGTTATGGGGTACGACAGGGCAGGCAATGTTGGCAGGAAAGCTGGCACTGCTCGTTTTCCACTGCTTGGCACAAATGACACATGGGACACAGACACAGCCGCCAGTGAGCCTTGGCCATACTTCCTTCCCCCTTTGCCTCGCCGTGTTAACTCGGAGTACAGTATCACCTTCAGCTTCGGCGGCACATCCCAAAGCAGATTTGAGTGCACATTTAATGATGGAGAAGCAAGTGAATGCCACAGCCCGGCCAGAGTGCAGGTGAGCAAGGATGGTGGCCATATCTTCAAAGTGCGAGCACAAGGCCCCTCTGGGGTTTGGGGTCCCTACATAGGGTTCCAGTGGGTACGGGGTAAGTGTCAGTTTTCACCCCTCCTTGACATCTTTTTTTCTGGGAGGGGAGGAACCTTGCCCTCTCTTCCTTTTACCATATCTTCTTGGTTCTTCTTTTTTCTAGAAAGTGAATTCTATGTAAGGACCTGCCAAGCACGGATTGAGACACACATCTGATTTCTGAGTTTTGCCCATGGAATGTATGCCTTGCCGGAATTCCTGCTTGTTGCTGAGATTTCTAAGTCTGTGCGTGTGTGCGTGCTTGCTGGTCCGCGTGCCTGTTTGAGTGCTTGTCGGCTTGAGTGTGTGTGTGACCCGCAAGGGCACTTGTTCGTTCGGGAGGCCCGAAGGGCCAGTGCTTACACTATTGCCGTGACTTTGAGGGTTGCAGCGGGGAAAACACTCAAGTGGTAGGAATAGGCCTGCGACACTTAAGTAGCCAGTAGGCCGGTACCTCACCAAGTAGCGGTAGATGTGTCGGGTACTCGAGGCCGAGCACAAGAAGACAAAAGTTGGCATTTTTAGAGGCCCAGTAGTTGTAGGCTAGGTCTACGCGGGTACCAGTCCAAGTAGGCTGAGCCTAGGGCCTGTGCGGACGACATCAGAGCCTGCAATGATGTTTCCGTCCGAAAGAGAGGAGGTACCGGTTGCTTGGAGGCCGCACGGCCTTGAAGTCACCACCCAAGAGGCAAGTTGGCCAATCTCCCGGCTGAGCGAAGAGCTCAGCCTCATTTGCTGCATGCAAGTTTGGACGTCACGCGCTGGAGCTTTGGTTGGAGCGCTGCTGAGTCCAGCGCTGGGGAAGAAGGGGACTAAGCTAGGGGAGCGCCAGGGGTACTTACCTGGCTATGGTGGATATCATCTTCATCGCCTGGTGGGCGCTGCATCTGGAAGGCCCCCGTTGGGGTAGAGTTACCCCAAGAAGCTTCGAGACAGAGTCAGGCATGGCGGCCTGAGTGGAAGCAGCCATATCTGCTTTGTGTTGTCTTTTGCACGTCAGGGCAGGGCCCTAGTGGTCCACCATAGCCTCGGCCGATGAAAAGGAAGAGGAGGGCGGCCATGGCTATGGTGGACCTCAAGTTGTGCTGGCAGGAGAAGAGGGATTCGGACATTGATGCTGGTTCTGCTATTCATCATCATTACTATTATTTATTGTTTGAATGAGAGAGGAGGAGAAAAGGAGGAGGAGTTGGTTGGCGAGGAGAAGGGGGATTATCATTGGTCTTTGCTGGTGTACATCTTCTTCTTCTTCTTCTTCTTCTTCTTCTTCTTCTTCTTCTTCTTCTTCTTCTTTCCCTCTCTCTCCTCTCAAGTTCATTCATTTCTTTTTGCAATTGGATGGCATTTTGCTTTCTCGTGAATTTGTACTTCGAAATTGGCCAGGATCGTAACATCTATTAAAATAACTGGAAAGCAGAAATACTGTCCCTTCCATGAATGACCCAGTCTATGCTTCCTCCATTACGACCGAAGGACCCTGCGGCCGCAGCGTTGATTGCTTCCTCATTGACGAAGGATTCACCAGCTGGGGGTTGCAAACACAGATGAAGAGCAGCAACAAATAGAATCCGTGTTCGTCACTATATGGCAGGATAAGAACAGGGCTGTGCAATGACTTGCTGATTCTGCAGCCTGGGGCCCGTCGGACCGAGGCTGTAACATAGTAGGACAGATTCGTAATTTTGTTTCTGCTGTGTACTAACCGGGAAAACAGCCTGTGGGGAAATACGTGAGGGACATATCTGCAAATTCGTAAAGACTAACAGACCCGCACTAATCCTATTTCCCTATAGTCACCCTAATTGCAAATAGCAGGCCCGGGCTACCACATGGACAGACAGGCCTAAAGGCCTATGCTGCTCGACTGGTCCTATAGCCTATAGCCGGGCAAGGAAAGGCCCTAGAGGCCGACAAAAAAATGGTACCGGTCGGTGCAGTAGGTCCGGTCTAGGTCGAGTCTAGGCTAGAGTAGATCTATTAATAGAATGAGGAAGTCTGTTCAGGGCTTTTGACAATTGGCATGATGCAGATCACGACGGCACAACACGTGAACTGGAGGTGACAGCTTCAGCGTTGGAGAAGATAGACATAGCCAGACCCTCGAAGCGTCGGCCATAGCTGGGTCCTTCGCTGTTCTCTGAGAGCACGTAGGGCTGTTCAGAGGTCTGGGTTATCTGAGGTCTGCTGGAAGTGGCAGAAGTTGGTGCCCATCGAACCCTCCTCAGGAGTAGGGTTCCAGGTAGTGGCGCTGAAGTCATAGCTGCAGTTTACATCCTCAGATATCTCCTTTATCAGGAAAGGTGGCGCTGCTGCAGAGCTTCACCTGTGAAGCCATCTGGCACTTCATCTTCATCAGAGACTGTGGCGCTAGTCTTCTTCTTCATCCTCTGAGAGCCGCTTGGCCTCAGGGCCCTGTTTCCGGGTGGCACTTCCCTCTGGAGGCAGTATCTGGGTGGCACTGGTTGTTTCAGGGGTTCTGTGGTACTAGATAGTGGTTACCCAGGGTTGGGAAGAGGCGCTGCTCATTTCTGAGCAGCGCACCGTGTTTCTGAGACTATTCTGACAAAACGATACTCTGAGTTTAATAAACAGTGTTGATACTGTGTGTGGACTATCTTTGCTTCATTGTTTTCTGGATGTGATCTACTCGGCTTTCCTTTGTGACTGGTTGTGGGGACTCTGTGGAGCGAATTGCACTTTCAGTGTATTCTGTCATATCGCATGGACAAGTCTTCCGCTGTGTTTCTTCCTCTCTGTGTGGTGTGATACTCCTATCCTCTCCCCTTCCTTCTGTGTATGTATGGGCATGCATGGAAGTCTATGTGAGCGAGTGTTTGTCTTCTGACAACGAGCAACCAGGTTCATAACAGCTGTGTTCCATCTGGACCAGCACAAAAACATACAATGGGAAAGAAGGGCGCTGGCGCAGCCAACTTGGATCTCCTTCGCCTCAGCCACTTCCAGTCCCAATACCACAATCAAAACTTTCATCCTTATACCCCAGCGGACCTGACCAGGTGCCCCCTTCCCTTCCACCTGTCCCTCCCCCTCCCCCTCCCCCTCCCCATCCCCCTCCCCCCCCCCCCCCCCCCCCCCCCCCCCCCCCCCCCCCCCCCCCCCCCCCCCCCCCCTCCTCCCCCAACAGGCAGCAATTGCAGGTGGGAGGCCAGTGTAACAGCGCCTGACGCAGATTCAGGAAAGGAGCCCTTACCAAAAAGAACAAGGGACCAGCCAGGCAGGGCATCCCCTCAGCAATGCAGAAAAGCCACCGAAACCGTAGATTACCATCAGTCGCCAGCAGGGACCAGGCACATGGCGAAGGCAAAAGGAGGCTATACATTGAAGCCTGATGTTAGGGGATTCCTCTAGTTGTAATCAGTGACGAGTAGTGTCAAAGGCATTAAGGCTAGGGGCATAAAATGTGTTACACAGTTACTACATGCTAGAACGTGCAGTAGAAGGGGGGGGGGGGGGGGAAGGCGGGACCTGACCCTTCTAGATGCATTCATTCAGAACCAATGCCCCATTGCCACTGTTTCTTCTACTGTCAATCAGGGACGCTGGACCCCGTTTCCAGCAGGTGCAGCTCCCTTGGAACGGAGCAATCAACAGGGTGAGGTCTCAGACAGGAAGATGCTCTTACCACTTCTTTCCAGAGGCCCATCCACCTGATTTTCAATCCAAAAAAAAAAAAAAAAACAGGATTCACCACTTCTCCGCCCTCCTTGCTCCTCTCAACCATTCGGAAGATCTGACTTTTTTTTTTTTTTTTTTTTTTTATTATTATTATTATCCGAGGAATTAGTCAAAAGATTCACCACCTACAGACTACGCAACCACAACCTAGGCCTAATAACGGGGGAGAGAAAGACTAGCTAATATTGCCCAACTCACTCAAGCAGGAATCAAATCCTAGACGTGCTCCTCAAATTCCCACGACTCGACCACTTGTAGGCACACCAGACACACCGGTAAAGAAATGGCTCTTATCCGCAGGAGTCAACCACCTCACTCCACCTCATACCTCCTCCCTCGCAACAAACCCATTATCCCACCTGCCAGCGACATCCTCCTCAAGATATCAGTTGCCTCCTTAACATCTACCCTCCACACCGCTTGCCGCCTCCGACACTCACACCTCCCTGAACAGAACAGTCCAAACCATTCTCGCATCAAGCCATCTCCCCACATAGAGTTGGGCACTACAAGCAACTTCATTCTGAGGATGCCAGGCATGCGCTTACAGCATTACAATTTACAACTAACCATCCAGCAACTCAGGCTCGCAGACAGGGATAGAGGGTTTACGACAGGGTGTTCCCAGGGTTTAGGGCTTAGGGTTTTAGCAGAATCCACTGCAAACAGATGGAACAGGACTATCCAGAACCAGGTTTTTCAGAATGCTCCTCCGTAGGTTACTTGATAGAGAGAGGAAAAGTTGGTAAAGCAACCCCCCCGCCCCCCCCCCCGTGGGGACGCCGAAGCACCAGAGGCAGACTTAGAGAAATCTGAGGTAAATCAGACGAACTAACTAACTACCGTCTTCACCCAAATAGAATGCCCAGTCATTATAGCTGTATTTTGCACAACTTTCGGTCCAGATGCAGCGATAATGACCGGGCGTTCTATTCGGGTGAAGACGGTAGGGCCACAGTGCTCAAGGCGTACAAGCCTATCAGACAGCAAGTGGCTGAGAGGAGCACAGCGTCAACAAGCCCAAACAGTAGGACAGTAAGACCCTAAGGAGAGACTACCTTCTTCCCCCGAACATAATGCATATGCACTGTAAACGAATGCAACGCCTCGGGTTCATTCTATCCGAATAGAACACAGAGGGTGCGTTCTATTCGAAGAAAATGCACATGTCTTCTATTCGAATAGCCCTACTTTTCGAATACAGCGCATTTTTTGCGTTCTATTGAATCTATTCTATTTTAGTTGATTTTTTTTGAATTTTTTGAATTCTTTGAAAACTTGAGTACAAGGTATATGCGTTATGCTCAGGGGAAAAAGGTAGTA